TCAACATTTTTATACATGGGCATGCACACATACACACAAACACACATATATGTATGTGTGAAAGAAGCCAGTGGGGCTCCGGGATGACACTGAAGCTGCTTTCTGTACTGCCATCTACTGTCGTCTTAATTTACTTATGGGATTTTGTTAGAAGTTTGTTGCTTTATTTTCCCTTTAAAAAAAGGCATGCCATCTTTGAAATTAATGTAGCTCAGTGAATTATCAGCTTAGTTTTGCTTAAAATTTATTCTCAGCATATTAAAAACAAGTATATGTAATGCTGGGGCATTTATGTAAAAATGTTTCCATTTCTTAGTCTAATTTTTAAGCATTTTTCCTGTCTAAAGAACAAGTTACTGACAAACTGATTATTTAATTTGTCTCCAATTTCTTTTAACACTACTTTATGAGGACTGAAAGGTTAGAAATACTTAAAGAAGATCAGCAGTTCAGGCTACCAGGTATTTTCATTACATGTGATGGTTAATTGCAGCAGGTACCTGTGACCATCCTCACTGCCCTGCACCTTGAGGGCTGCATTGCCACGGGCTCAGAGTGCCACTCGTGCCTGCAGCCAGTGTCTTTTTGGGCTCAACCCAGCAACAGCAGTGTTAAAAGTGCCTAAAAAGCAGGCTGGAACATCTGTGCTTTCAAACATGCACCGTCTCTCATGCAGTTTAACTTGAACCCAGCCAGTGATACACAAATCAGGATAAACCGTTTGATGGGTCTGTTCCCAATTCCAGTCCTATCTGCAGGTTATTTCTCTGAATGTGTTTGCAAAGTAGTGTAAGAGTTAACTTGCCAGACCGCCCCATCCCAAAGCTCCTGAGCCCCCAGCCCGGTGCCCTTCGGGGACCTGCACCCCCTGTGGTACTTACAGGTGTCCAATTAGGGGAACAGAGTGAGTTGGAGAGTCGGAACCTGTACAGCCACCAGCCGGGACAGCCCAAGTCCTCGCTGCCTTTGCAGCCTCCCTATATAGAGGAGGAGAATCTTGTCAGTGGGGAGGGGCCCTGGAAACCACGTCCTGCTGGAAAATCCTCTTGGTACCTGGCTTAAAAAAGACAGCTTGAGCCAAGGACCTCACTCCCAGCAGGGCCTAACCCTGGGCTGCTGCCCCTGCCCTGAGCTGCTTTTTAGGGAAGCAGGCTGGTTCTGGCTTTTGAAAAGGTATGAAAAGGGTGCCCCTAATTGGAAAGGGGTGTTCCTAACTGAAATGGGTCCCCCTAACTCACAAGTTCAGAGGTTTTGCTTTTCCCTAGGGTGAAACTGTTTGACCAAGCACGTGGACCTTTAACTCCTTCCTGCCTTGGCACCATCATTGCCCCTCATGGCCCTCTGCCTACAAGGGCAAAGGGCAGGTCACGGTCCTGCGTGGCACAGGATGTTTCCCACCCACCATCAGTGAATTTTCTTGGAGCTAAGATAGGTCCCTGAGTTCAGGAGTTGCTTGGGTAAAGAGGGTTATTCCTAATACAGCAGGAGTGTGTGGGTGGAGGTTGCTCTGGGTCTCCCTGTGTTTATGTGACATTTGGAGCCTAGGGCTGGTTTAAGCCTCCTTTGCCCCTGGGAAGCAAGAGTTGTTTCCCACCTCTCCAGCAGATTTTGCAAAGTTTCTTTTGCCATCCAATGTGCAGCTCAGTTCTTGAGAAAGGACTCTAAATACTTTTTCATGTATAAGAAATACCTCTGTCTCACCATAAAAGGTATAAGAAAAGAGATAAATAGCTGGTGGGAACAGTCCCCAGGATGCAGTGGAATGAACAGGCAGCAGGCACCATGTGCTGGGGGAAGAGGAGGACAGGGAACTGGGGACTAGATCTTCAGGGGTTAGGGAATGATCTGTTCCTCATCAAACCTTCCTCACACCCCTATATAAACTTTCACTCCCCAGCTGTCCCCCCTCCTTCTCCCACTAGTAGTCAACAGCCTTGTGCAGTAGGACCTGTGGATGGAGACATCCCAAAAAGGGAAAGCTAGGATCCTCTAGGAATTCCCATCAACGTGCCAAATACAAAATACCGAAACAACCCCCTCTCAGCAACAGACTAAATATGGTGTATACCCAAAGGATCAGAGCACCGGCCGGAGTGAAATTATTTCTCTTGACATCAACAGCCCTGTCCTCTCTGGAAAATACGCTCTCCTGGGGAAGATGGATGAGGCTCATATTGGTCTCATCATCCTAAGAAAATACCTATGAGGGGAGGATGGGCTGAAAAGCCCTGCTGTCACTTGGTCGGGAACTTGCAGGTGTGATAGACCTGTACTAGAGCCCCTTCTTCTGGCTCTAGTAAGTGGTGAACAAATTTGGGCAAAGAGGAGAGAGGAAAAAAGCACTGCAGGGGTTTCTTCCCTGCAACATTTCAGAAACATCAGGTACAGGCTTGTGTTCAGGCCTTGGCCTGGAGGAGACAGGTTTGCCAGTGGTGGCACAGTCCCAGGGGTTGGGGTCTGTCCTGCCAGCTGGAGGGTCGCTGTCCGTGCTGGTGTGGGGCGGCCACGTGGGGCCTTCCCAGGACCCAAAAGGCAGCAGTGTCATATCAGACTCGTGCACGTGTGACTGTTGGAACAAAGCCAAGGGAAATGATCACCACAACATAAATCCAAGAAACTTGCCCTTGTTAGCAGAAAGTTCCTCACAGGGTAGTTCACCCTATTTTCTTCCCTGTAGTTTCTCGGTTGCAAACTTAGCTTTTAAATAGAAAAATAGATGAAACGCAAGGGGAGCCTCTGAAAAGTATGATCATTTTGAGATTCATCAAAGTTACCCTAAGAAGTTCCTTTTAAATGCATGCAGCTGTTTCACAAAACCAGACACATTATAATAGTAGCTTAAAAAGGAGTGGAAATTATTCTGGCTGGTCTGCAAACCGCTGCATGTGCACACGCAGGCTTGCTGCCCGAGCAGGGTGTTTAACAGCGGCAGTGGTGGAGGGTGATATATGATGTGACATTAAAGGGAGCTGGAAAGTCTAAAAAAATATTACTGTTGGGACTGAAACAGTTGCACTCTCGAGCTGTGTGGGGTAGAAACTGATAAGTATAAGCATGGCTTCCAACCTTCACTTATAAGTTAATGTAAGAATATACTAATTTAATAGCCTGGCTGGGGTTTCCTGAATGTCGCGTTTTGTTTTGTTTTTAAAACCAAAGTTGCCTCAAAAAGAAAGCTGGGGATTCCCAGCGGACAATGACTTTACAACAACAACAACAACAGCTTTATTTAAACCCTCTCGATTTGTTTATTTATTTGTTTTAATTAATTTTCTGGAAAAAATATTGAGCAGCCTGTCCTTAAATATTTCCTTGCTGAATTTACACTATAAATATTGTACTTGTAAAAAAAAAATTGTACCCCAGAAGGAAAGAAATGAACTTTCAGCTGCTTTAGTGTGGTGTAACCTGAACACAGCAGAGGGGAAAAAAGAAAAGCAGAGATTGTGATGTTAATTTGTTAAATAATGTGTCAGGTAAGCAATTTTTTTTGTTTGTTTCAAAATAGTTTTACTTAAGTTTTACCAACCACATTTCTCTAAGCTGACAAATGTAATAGGAACTGATGAGTGCACTGGTGGGTTACCACCTGTGTCAAGCTGTGCCCTTGCAACAGGAGGGACAGTGTTTGTCCAAGTTAGAACAATTAATCATGACAACAGTCTGATGAGGTAAAATACTCGCCAACTGCTTAATGTTAAGCTTTGTGCTTAACGCTGGCTGCAGGTCGAGTGAAGTGTGTGGAGAGCACAGGTCAGTTTGAATCAGCTGGGCACCAGCTGCTGCTGAAAGGGTGTCTTTGCAAGCGTGAACAAATATTTTGAGTTTCTTTTCCTAAGCGTAATTACCAGTGATAATCACTGCTCCGGAAAACTGATCAACTGACACCGAGCCCGGGCTCGATACGAGGGGCGCTCAGGAAGGAAAACGTAACCGAGTCCTCGGAGCTGCTGATAAAGCTTCGGAAAAAGCCTCCCCTGTGCACGACAGAAACTCAAACCTCTGAAGCAGCACGGGTGCTGTGGAGTCTAGAGACATAGTTTGCTCTCATTCTAGGGGAAAGCAAAAATTGGGTTTTAAAGAATTTTTTTATTTTTAAAACTTGTGGGTTCAGTTCTTCCAAAGTATTTTCCAGATCTGATATCCACTGCAAACTTCACTGGCTCCTTGTGATAACGAGCTTAGACAACGAACAGCAGCCTCTTTTAACGTAAATCCCTCCATAATCTCTTGGTTAATGTTCTATCTCCAACAAAATTCAGAAGTGCATTTTGCTCATTAAAGCCCCTAAAATTCTACATGCTTATAACCTTTTTTTCGTTTTCTGATGTCAGTAGAAAAAATAAGGGCAGTTTAATACAAGACATCCCAGGCTGTAATTAAGTTAGATGGTGCTTCTGAAATTCTTTGAGAAAATAATTTTTCTGTATGCTCACCCAGGTGGCAATTTCTTCTAAACCCTGAACTTGTAACTCTAGGATTGTGAATTATGTCCATCTAAATATTGATCTTGCTTACCTTAAAATTTTAAGGAATAAGTTCAACCATAGATTTGCAATTCCTCTTCACCCATTAACAAGGCAGGCAGTCTGACATTCATTCCTAAGACTCACTATATGTCAGTATCTTGAAAGATGCTCTGATACTTCATGTACTATCAAGATAAATGTTAGACCATTAATAATAATGTGATTATATGAGTATATTTTCATAGACCTGTTTCAAAACCTTGTTGTACAAATAAATATCACTGGAAATACACTTCAATTTGATTTTATTACTTGTACAATGACTATACTTTGAAACGAGAGATTGTTTCAAAACCCCAAATCTGGACTGTGAGGGTATTGGAGAATTAGATGAAATGCATGTTGCACCAAGACCAAACAGGCCAGTTTCCACTCACTGTCCCAGTGCAGTGTCTGGACAATGGGCTGAATATCCCCAAGAAAATAGTCCCAATTCCCTCTGTTTTAAACATATTTCTTCTCTGATTTCAGGCATACACCTTTACCTCAAGCTCAGTGAATGACACCTTTGTAACAGCCTCTGCTTTCTGGACTGTGGAGACCAGGAGCCTGCTGAGCTGTCTGCTTGGGAAAAGGCAAGTACCAAACATCCCTTTGCCTTCTTCAACCAGGGCAAAAATTGTATTTCATTTCTACCACTAAAAATCCATTTCCCAGGGAGCTCCATGGCACCTGGGCAGCATCTGAATGATCTATATTGGGAAGACAGAAAGCAGAGGCAGTGGCTTTGGTTACACTGAAACATTTGCATAGCACAGAAGGTTAGGGATTCTGTGTTTCCCAGAGTGGTTTTTTTTTGCCCTTGAGAAGACAATTCAGAATCCAAATTATACATAACAATTTGGAGAAACAGAGGTCTAGCATTTAACCCCTGGAAAACCAAAGTAAAAATTCAGGAATTTCTGTGGCCAGAGCAATCATTTCTGCATTGTTCAGAAATTCATTTTTGCAACTTTCCATAGAAGCACTTCCAGCTCATTCCAAAATGAAGGTGACTCACAAATAACGCCTTAGGAGATCTATTTGATACTATATTTTAGATAAAGAAATTAAGAGAGAGATCAGTGATTGTGAATATTTGCATTAGTGTGGCAGGCAAGACCCAAGAAACGAGGCAGAATCCTATGGAGTAGCTTTTACAGGGATGGCTCTTCAGCCCAGCAGTTGAACCTGAAGGAGGTGCAAGCTCAGAGCAAACACTGAGGGCACAGAGTTGCTTGACCCAGTAGTCAACTGCCATTGATGCAAAGCTACAGACTTACAGATGGGTTTGGTTGAGGTTGATTTGCAAACACATCCTCCCCTTCTGGCAACAGTCCTGAGACACTCACAAATGAGCAAAGGGAGAGCTAGGGGCACTGCCAGTCACAGCAGGGAGATGAGCTCACTGCTGAGGCTTCAAATGGAGAAATGCAGCCTCTCCCTTCAACTCGTAACTTCTCTGCAGTTTCAGAGCACAGATGAGCCTCCTGGCAGAAATAAAAATACACCTGCAATGCTAACTGGGTCAAATCAAGACAAAGGCAAAACTTCACAGTGTGTACAACTCAGGGTCCTTCCAAATTCACAAACCACACGTTCTCTTCTTCTCTTTTTTCCCCCCTATTCACTGTACCATTTATGTAACGATTAAGACTTTTAGGAACCTTACCCTAAAAATTTATTTATATGAAATTCCTCTCAGTACCACTGGAAACATTTAACATTGATACATTTTGTTAAAATGAGTAGTGAAAAAAATAGCTGACCTGTTATTTTTATGTACTCCTCTAAGTTTGGCTTCTAAAATAAATTTCAAAACATGTAAATACCTCAGCTAAAAAAGAGCTCTGGGAATCAGTAATCTATTATAAACTTTATTTTTAGCTTTGCCTGACTTTGAGTTTCATGTTGTTTGGGAAAAAAACCCAGAAATTCCTTCCCCTCCCATATACCCAGTGTTAGACCAATTTTTAGCAACTCCAGATGGAAAAAAACTTACCCTCACTTGTTTGGTGGCATTAAGATAAATATAGTCCTCGCTTCCGGAGAATTAAAAACAACTATCCCTCTAAAGCACTTTAATTTTCGATTAAAATTTATTTTCCCTGACTTATCTGAAATTAACAGCTTCTCCTTTTCAAAAAGATGATTAGAAGGTTTAGTTTGAACACTCTCAAAATACCACGCAGAATAAAATTGAAAAATTTTATTAAGAAACACAGGAAAAACACACAAAGACATAACATAGTAAAGGAAGTGCAGAAATGGTAAGTTACTTAACAAAAATCTGTTGGATAAACCCAGTATTTTCAAGCCAAATTCTAGACACAGGATTCATTGATGTGACCTCCTATACAGTTTTCCTTCTGCCAGCACTGGAGGAGGAGAGCCTTTGCTAACATTTTTTCATTGACAGTAAGTATGACCTCGTCATCCTTGTCTCATGGGTAGATGTTACAAGCTGAAATGGTCCCACTGGATTTGTTGGAGAAATTTATGCAAGAAGAATGTCCTACATTTACTCTTACAGAACTTTATATGAGAAATTAGCAAATGGAAGATGTCATCTCTTTATACTTTGTAAAACAAGGGGCTCTTCGATGCTTGTGCCAGCCATCCTTCCTGGTTCTGGAATTCTGTCTGAAAATGAAACACAGACATAAATATTCTCATGCATTTGGAGACTTAAAGGTGTGTTATTTTCTATTATTATCAACTTTGATAAACAATATCAAAACCAGGCAATTTTACAAATAAATGTTTCCATGCACCTGTTTGAGATAAAAGCTTTGCATTACTCAAGATTAGACTTCAGACAACTTCCAACTCAGCTATAGTGAATGAACTGAAACAACAGAATCCACGTTTTATCAGGATCCCCAGTCTGCTGGAATATTCTTACCTAAATAAGCAAGACAATTTCTAACATGAAGAGCAAGTCACTTGTTAAATATGATTAATCTTGAATTTGTAACTAACTGTAAACAATTAAATCTCTGTGTGAAGTTATATTGGAGTTAACAGGGCAGGGCGACCCTGCACAGAGTCACAACTTCAGAACTGACAGACAAAGTTATACTTTAAAAACAGTTCTTCTGCACACTAAGTTTGTTTTAAAAATGGAGAAATTTCTGATAGGAAATTTTCTAACGAAGAAGAAATTTATAGCAGTTTTGGTAAGGAAATTCTATTTCTTCAGCCCCCTCTTCTGGCAGAAGGGAAATAGCATTGTTTAAAAAAAGGGGGCTGGTACTTCTCTCACACTTTTTAGATGTCTATGTGATCTCAGGCCTCATATTTTTCAAATTTTTGGATACAAACCAAATAGTTGATAGTACTAACAGGATAGTACTAAATTCTCACAGAAAAAAATGAAGCAATATGCCAAGCAGACTCTGAAGGAAAAAACTAGACCAAAACTAGACCTTTCAACCTGTAGCTTAGGCAGTATTAGTTGTAACCAATCAGAAAGCAGACCAGAAAGGGCAAATAAGATTTAGCAGTGTTTACTATAGAGCAGTGAACTCAGGGCTTAAGCTCCTGTGGTCAGGGAGCTGTGAATTATGTCCTCAGAAAAGGTTTATGCCCATCTACAGAACTGACAGCTAAAGAGTTAAGAACTTTCTACAGAAATTAGGTAAGTTAGACCAGATAGGAAACAGAGATATGCCCACTATTTAATATATTTTATTGAGAATTTATGTTAAATTCTTGTATTAAATCACCAATGTAGTAAGACTGTCTTTAGCTGACCCTTTTCATATTTGTGATAGTATAAGGGAGTACAATTTGGCCAGTTTAAGGGAAATGGTGAAGCCATCTGGTGTATGACCTTTCTGATACTGAGGACTGGTCTTTACAAACAACTGCAGAGCAGTAAATCTCTGTTTCTAAATGCATAAATGGCATGATAGATATTCTACCATCTACAAATTACAACAGCACAGCTGTCCAATTTAAATGAACTTTCTGTTTTCAACAGTCCAAAAATCTTAATGGTATAAAGCTAAACAATGAGTTTTTATCCCTTCTCTCTAAAAACTAGTAAGTAGCTGTAACTACAAGGTAACAAAAGAAACACAGTACCGTGCTGGAAAATTCTATCAATTTGGCTGTCTGCAATACTTTAAAAAGTCTGCTTTTAAATAAAATACACTCCCATATAGCAGAGAAAGTTCTACTGCTGACACATTTGAAGGCCAGTCCAGCACTTCCAAGGGCAACAGGGTTTGTATGCTGTGTGTCTTGTGCCACTGGGACATGGGCAGGGAGAAGGGGGATGGAGAGCTGGGGTAAGGTGGTCACTTGTTTAAACAAAGGCATAGGTAGTTTTAGGAAATCATGGATGGGTTTTTCTTGAGCTGGATAAAGTAGGAACTTTGTTTAATGAATCCCTGAGCAACACGTATGGCCAAGTCACACGGTTTAATGTTATTTTTGAGGTATAAACACTGTTCTGCTGAAGACTTTTCTTACAAAAAGGTGTCAGTTCAAAGCATTCCTCACACAGAGAAGGAGATACACTGTGTCCATCTGCATGTTTATGCTGCTCTATGCATATGTATGGTATAGGAAATCTAGTCACAAAGTTCTGCAAAAATGACACTGCACCCACCTTTTTGATTTCTCTCAGCAGGTGGTTTGATAAGATTCTGCTTTGGATAGTTCAGCAAAGACCCTTTTGGAAAGGTATTGTGTGTACTTTCTTCTTTACCACCATGTAAGAAATGAGAGATAATTCCATACAGGAGAGGTCTGTTTAAGAGAGAAATTACAAAGTAGTCTATATAGAGGCTATAAATACTGAGAATTAAAAATACACCCTTTCCTTGGAACTTCTTAGACCATAATACTTACTTCTAGAACATGTACAGATGTCTTTATAATGATATAAAATACATTATGCCAAGTATCAATACATAAATAAGTACAGACCTAAGCTCACTCTGAACACCAACACTCCCCCAAAAAGCTTGGAATAGGAGATGCTCTGCACTGAACTCCGGATCCCCTGGTAGGTGAAGAACCAGAGCTTGCTTAGCACAAGAACACATCCACATTCTCTCCTTTGTGGATCAGGATCCACACAGTCATGAAGGATCAGATTTTGGTGGGCTATACAGCAGTCCACCACTGCACACCCCAAACTTGGTTCTTCCTAAGCACCTGACAGACTGGGACAGCACAAACTACAGAGACTGCTGAACATGTTTAAACCTTCTTCTGCCCTCAGCTCATTGATGCCCTTGTATCAGAGCACTGTGAATTTATATCTAATCTCACAGTAAAATAATCTTTTTATTGCTCTACAAAGCAGCTCGCTGATATGCAAAGAACATATCTGTTTCCTGTAGCAAACAGACTGTGCTGGTAAAAGACTCGGTGTGCAAGGACTCTATCTGGAGAATGCCACCGTGTTGGCAGGATTAAATGGTAGTTTGGAGTATGTTTGAAAATGGCCCCATGTTTGCCATGAATCCAGCACATTAGAGCCAGGTGTGTGATCTAGTCACATTTCAATTGGTGAGAACATTTATATGTGATTTGTAATAACGCTAAAGAGAAAAATATACTGATATACAGAATATACAGAATATACCGTGCATTTTAAAAATCCTCCTTACACTGATTTTCCACTTGCGTCTTCGACTACATTCAGCTCTTTGGCAAGAAACTGTCTATCCAAGGGCACTTCAGGCTGGCCGGATTCTGGAAAAAAGATTTTCCCCAAATTCTTAAGAGTGGTAAGAAAAACATCACCAACTA